TTTACCTCCAGAAAGAGACCAAATGTTTATTTTTTTGGCGGTCTACATAGTTTTAGCTTTTTGCAAACTCACTTGCTCTCCTTTAAAAAAAAATGTTTCCCTCTTGTGTGCTGTCCTTTTTTACAGCCTTACTATGTGTTTTTACCTCCCTGATACTAACGACAGGTTTTTCTTTTTATGAGTGTTGTCACCTAGAGTTTTCAGGCTTCCTTCTGAGATCCCTTTTTCCCCCTGTTTAAATGTGACATTGAGTCACATTTAGAAACCATTTAGAAACCAAGCTGTGGCACATACCTGTCATCTCTGCTTTTGGAGAGACTAAAGCAAGAGGATCACCTACAGGAGCCACAGCTGCTAGGTTTTACCCTTGGCCCCATCAATTTAGCTATGTGACCTAGTTCAGTTCACTGTGCCCCATTTTCCCCGTAGGAGAGGACAAGAATAACAATACATAACTTTTAATGTTAGAAAGACTAATAAAGTTCCACTTTATACATGCTATTATTGTGGTCAATTTTATTTTCAGATGTTACTAGAATTTCCATTGCTGTTTCTGTTTTATATATGACAAAACTACAGCCCTGGAGAGCTTGATCTTTTACCCAGCATCCTCACTCAGGAAATGGTGCTGCTTGGATTAGAACCCTGGTAGACTCTAGAGTCATGCCTTCTCTTCACCTCACCACATTACCTTTTGAAGAGAACAAGGGGAGGAAAATGGTGGTCATGCCACAGAATTATTGCTGGGGGTAAGATTGCCAAATTAGGACCAAGGCATCAAGTTAAGTTGAATTTCAAGTAAACAGTGATTATGTTTTTAGCATAAATATGTTCCAAATATTATTGACATGTATAAAATAGGTGCTTATTTTTATCTGAAATTCTGATTTAACTGGGGATCCTGTATTTTTTATTTGCTACATCAGACCTTTCAAGGAAAGGCCTTTTTCATATTATATCCAGCTCACTCTTGAGAGCTCCTCACCTCTTGCCCTCCATCTCCCAGGAGTCACTGTCACCATACCATGGGATTCCTGGCATCCCTCAGGTGAGTCAGGGCAGACAAAGTGGAGTGAAATGTGACTTTGTTTGGAATGAGAGGTGACGTCTTGCCTTCTCCTTGACCTTAAGGATCCTGTCCCTGAGCCTCACTACTAGTTTGAGCCAGGAGAAAGGTGCAAAGCCAGGAGGTTGGTGGCTTGTCACTTCTCCTGAGGGAGATGAGTGAGGTGGGAGAAGCTCATTCCTGGTTCTTTGTTTTCTTGCTGTGGAGCCAGACAAAGTGCACTCCTCTCCTCCTTCCAGTGCTGGCAGAGGCTGCTTCCTTGGCCACCAGATCCAGGACAGATTGGCTCAGCGTGAGTTGGTGGTGCTGTTTTAGGGAAGGCTGGCCAGCTGATACAATTGTCCGTCAGCAGGCTTCAGTTGAGAGGTACTGATGGATTGGTGGCCAAGTGCCATGTATGAGGGGTGCTGGGGGCAACATATTCACACCCTCTTGGTGACCAGCTGGTGAAAGGTTTGATAAGATGCTCTTCCCCCTCACTATCATCCTGCATCTTAGTCTGCACGGAATTAATAATTGTGGCAAGTTGAAGGATTCTGGGCATCCTTCTCTATTCAGTGAGTTGAGATCTGCATTGACAGAACCAGAGTAGTTTGTATACTTGCTTCTCTATTAATCTTAAGTAATGAGTCTGTGCAGAAACATTGAACTTAGGCAAAACACCTAAGTGTTATTTCTCTTTGGAGTATGATGATCTTGTTTTAGGTGTGCCTAAGGCCATTCCTGTGGGCACACCAGTCAAGGTGGGCATCCTACACATTGTAGCTGCTTGTGTGTAATTGTTCGGTTAAGCTGTGCTTGGGAATGAGCTTAGATTTGGAGCAGTACTGGGCTTGGAGTCTAACTCTTTTGGAATCTCGATATATCTTAAGTAATTGTTTTCACTGTAAGAAACTCAGAGCCTGCTCATTCAGCAGTGGGGACCTGTTGCACTGAGAATACTTGGGAGTTCTTTTGGACGTGATTGTTGTGCTTGCCTGATACTGGTGGTACTTGGGGTTTACGATGAGGCTGGCATTCTGCTCTGGACCTTGGCCTTGTCAGGTTCTTCGTGGTTGTGCCAAGTGACTCAAGGACAGAATTAGATCTATCCAAAGAAACCATTTCAGTGTGGACTTTGAGCCAGGGTGGGGCAGCATAATGATTGTGAAGCAAAGATTGTTCATCAGTGGTTGGGAGAGCACAGTCTTCACAAGACTTCACACATGGATACCGTTTGCATACAGCTTACTAGATCTTAAAGTGAAAGCCCAGTGAGTACTGACAACTGTGTACACCTGTATAGTCACCACCTGAAATGAGGCAGAGAACATTTTTATTGTCTCATGGAGAACTCCTATTCCCTAGGTCAATTCTGTCTCTGCCTCAGGCAACCACAGATGACTCTCTGTGGACGAGTGTTGTGTCCTTGTGCTTCAGTGGAGTCATACGGGGTACATATATACAGTATATATGTGCGTGTGTGTGTATATATATATATATATATATATATATATAATTGTTGTTACATTGGCTGTTTTCTTTTGCTCAGTGTTTTGCTGTTGAATTCATCCAGGGTTCCAGTGATAATCTGCTCCTTTTTATTGATAAGGAATCATTTATAAATATAATACAATGTGATTATCCTTTCCCCTGTTGATGGACATTGGAAGTATTTCCAGTTTTCCATTATAAATAAGGCTGCCATGAACATCCCTCTGTAAGTCTTTGTGTGGATGTGTTTTTATTTCTGTTGGGCAGCTTCTAGAAGAGAAGTCATAGGCTCATACGGTGGCTTTCTTTTTTTTTTTTTTTTTTAGTAAAAGTGCTCTTCCTTAGTTTGAAGAGCAAGCTAAGCTCCTATCCCTCGCTGACACTGGATAGGCATAGCTAGCAAAAGTTAGGTCATTCAAGAAAGTCTGCAGCAGTTAATAACTGTAATCGAATCTGAGTGTAACTGATTATGATTTTGAACTGTTAAGTTTAATTCCATAAAACTCCATGAAGCTGATATGTTACCCAGGCCTGTTGATAAATAAAATCAAACTAGGTACAGTTATAGCCCTCACATACAGTTCCTTCTGTATGTGAGGAACTGTACCTTTCTTACAGTTGTGAGTAGTTGGTGCTGATATTCAGTGCATGGCAATGAGCTATGGGCAATAATTCATATGTGAGTCCTGGCTAGTAAGTGACGTGCCACATTTGAAGGCTGACTCAAGGCAGAATTCATGAGTTTCTGATCAAGTGACTTAATATTAAACGGCCATGCCAATTACTTTCTTCTTCCCAGTCTCTCTGCCTCCACTTTTCACCACCTTACATCTGGATTATGTCCATACTCCAGCAGCTGGCCTTTTGGTTTGCAAACTGCCCCCTCACCTCCATCCTGTTTTTGGATGCTAGCTTATTCTTCCAAAACACCTTCCTCACTCTGCTTAGGGCAACTATTGCTTGCCTAACACTGACCTGCTCAGTCCTCCTGGCCACGCTTCTTTGGCATCACCTGTAGACCTTTGGTACCCTGAGCTCCTGCCACTGCCCTGCCCACTCTGTTTCAGTAGATTGCAGAGCATTCCAACGTCTGTACTTTGAAAATTCTAGTCGATTCTAGTGTGCACCCAGACATGGACATAACTGCCCATCGTCTTAGGTGCAAGACATTCTATCCCGTGAGACCCTGTCTCAAAGAAAGAAAAACAAGAAACTGTTGCAACAGATGTATCTAGAGAGTTGCATGGCAGAGGGGAAAACAAAAGAAAATGTAGAATGAAAACAGTTATTGAAAGAAATCGGGGCACAAGCTACAGATTCTGGTAGATGCTACAATAATGAGTCTGCAAGTTTCATTGCTCACTTAAAATGTTCTGTTCTGTCTGGCTAGTTGCTGCGAAAGATCGAGCCAGTGGCCACCAATTCAGCAGCCAGGTACCAGGAGCTGCCTTTTGTTTTTTTTGTGTTTTTTTTTTTGGCATGATTAAGTGTGGCACCTGCCTAGGGTGGCTCTGCAGTTACTGTCATGGCAGAAGTCTTTTCTTTCTAGGTGGGCACCTCCTTGAGGTGGCAGGGATCATCTTAAATTTCCTGGTGCCCTTGCAGTGTCTAACATTGACAAAGATCTGCTTGATAAATAATCGTCTGAGTTTTCAGTTTTGTTGTTTTAGTCACAAAGACTCATGAATTCTGCTTAGCTATAAGTAGTTATACTCTAATTAGAACGGGAAGATGACTCCTAAGATTTCTTCCGTTCTTAGAGTCTCGGTCCAAACTCAGTAGTGAATAAGGAATAAAACATTGTCTCTGATCAGCAAAGCATTTCTTTTCCCTTCTGAACAGCTTTTGGAATGTGGCTGGTGTGACTGAGGCGCTGTCTTTAAATTTTACTTAGTTTGTATTCCTTTATATTTCAATAGTCATAGGGTGGCTAGTGGCTCCTATACTAGGCTGTGCAACTCTGCAGATAACCCACAATACGCAGCTCATACCAAATACTTCACCTTGTTTCTAGACGCTTACCAATGCCTCTATCTTGAAGGTAAATTGTTCCAGACTACCTTATTTGAAAAGAAAAAACAAAACTAGAAAACATTCTCTTCAAGCCAGGCACAGTAGTGGCTAAGGCAGGAGGAGAGCTAGGACAAGACCAGCCTAAATTATATAGCATTACTTTTCCCAGCTGTCCACTCAAGTCGCCCAAAAGCAAAATGCACTGGTACTGCTTTACGAACTTAATTTGTTTTATGATTTGTGGTGAATTTGGTTGCATTCCTGTTTATGTAGGGAAGATGGCCACAGTAATGTTTGTCACTTGGAGTTTGTGAATGGAAGCTAGATTTCGCCAAAAAGCTTTGTTTGCAAACCAAACTCTTTTCAAACAGATGCATTTGTGAAGGGACATATTGCCTTATTCCTTTGTAATTCACAAAGGCAATCTCTTATTCAACCTGTAAAGTCATGGGCCATCAGTTTTTAATAATTTGTGACAAACTATACCTAAGATGCCTCATAGCCACCGTGGATTCCCTACAGTGTCACTTTTGTCAGCCTGGGCCTGAGACTGTTTGGCATGTGTCCCCTTTTAATGACCAGGGGAAACAACTGACCATAAATCATGGCCCGAAAACACACTTGCCACCTTGATCCCTGTCCTGGTGACAGTTCCCTTCTTTAGTATTAATTACAGTTCTCTATGCTTCTTCTTTAAAAATTAATGTCTATAGGGAAGGCTACCATGGCAGTTAGGGTTAGGATTAAGCCTTTTTGAGACAGGTTCTCACTGCCTAGTCTAGGGCAGCCTTGAACTTGTTACGTAGCCCAGGCTGGCCTGCCTTAGCCTCTCATGTGCTAAGATTTCAGGTGTGTGTCACCACACCTGCCCAGTGATAGTTTGCATTGTGAATCTCTGTCTTAAAAGTTGTCCTTAAGCCTTGTGGACCCCTGAGAGACTTGTGCTTTATGATGTTTTTGGCAGTATAGGGGCTTCAACCCAGGGCCATTGCAGTGAGTCATATCCCAGCCTCTTTTCACTTTATTTTTCAACAAGTTTTCATTAAGCTGAACTCAAATTCAGAATCCTGCTGCCTCAGCCTCCCAAGTGCTAGGATGCCAGATGTATACCACCATCCCCAGTGATCCAATCAGTGCCCTTAAACAGCCTTCCTCTTATAACTTCAGGAAAGGAAAATTTTCAGTCTTAAATGGCCCATGAGCAAAGGAGTTTCATTAATTTGTTTTGGCGTTGAGACCTTGTTGAAGGGCTGTGTGGACAGCAGTACAGATTTGATGCTGGATAGATCTCAATTGTACAGGCTCTTCACAGAGTGGGGGCAAATAGCTAGCACCCTCTGCTGGCCTTTGGTCAATAAGTGTATGGTGACATGTGGAGTCCCATGGAAGGAGCAGTCTGAATTCACACAGTCACTCATATTCCTGAGTCATGCCCAAGGGCAGGGCTTGGTGCTAGGAACTGGGGGACACGGAGTGGGCCATGTGGAGAGGAAGGAAATTGATCCTTGCCTTGTTAGGGCTCCTGACCTAGTGAGAAGCATGGTTGGATTTCTAAGCACTAGGCACCTGCTGCATTCTCAAGTGACCTCTCGGGGGGTGGGCCAGGCTGAACAAAGTCTAAGCCAGGACTCATCACATCCTGAGACAGAATTACTCCACCTAATTTCACCCCTGCTGGTGTCTGTGGTGTCATGGAGGGTAGAAGGTCCTTTCTCAATTCCCAGCTCGGGGCTTGCCTTGTGGTTTGCTTTGGTTATGGAATGAAGTAGAAGTTAGAGTGTGCATTTCCAATCTCAGTCTTAAAAGGACTCTCCAGTTCTTCTGGCCTTGTAGGCAGCCAGGTGAGGGTGGGATTGCAGCAACACTGGCCACCTGTGTGTCTGCCAGGCTCGTCACTCCAGCAGCCTCTGGCACTGTTTCTCTCTATGAAAGGGTACCAGGATGCTTTTGCAGTCAGTAGGTGGATTCTCAGTTCTTGTACACTGAGATCTTCTTTTACTCACCAATGTCCTGACCTCCCACTGATGGACTAAACATCCTTTATTAATTGTGTCTTCGGAGATAAAGTGGAGGAACTCTTGCTTCATCTGCAAATTATCACTTGGACTCAGGCAGATTGGCATTGGATCGGGCCGAAAGAGCATAGGTGCAAATCTGGATAGAGCTGCTGGAAGAAACCAAGCAGCACACACATGGCCCTTGGTGGGTCAGGAGGGCTGGGGTAGTCCATGGGTAAAAGGATAAGTGGCCCAACCTATAGCTGAAATCAGTGCCCAAGGCTGTAAATGACTGATCTCATGCATTCTTTTTTTTATGTTATCCCTCCACACCTCTGTGCTAGTTGGCCAAGGACTGGGATTTAAACAAAGCAAACATACAAAGAAACCAATGGGAATTTTCTATTAGCTTGTGAGGATGGAGAACTGCTACCAAGATGGGATACACATTCCTACATGAGTTTCAAGACTTGGATGGAAATACAAGGACTTGACCGCTGAGGCCAGTAGGCTCAGTAATCCAAATATTCTGATGACCCCAGCATTCTGGGAGAAGTTCCAGCAGGTGGACAATCTCCTGCTGGCAAGAGGCCAGGTAGGCAGGGAATAGATTGGCTCATTCTTTTTTGTGTAAGTGGGGATTCAGCTAAGCCCTTTATGATAAGCCGCATTCCAGCCTTCTTTTATTTTTGATTATGAGACAGGGTCTTGCTGAGTCACTAATTTGCCCAGGTTGGGCTCAAATTTGTGATCCTCTTGCTTCCCCTTTCCAGAGTGCTGGGGTTAGAGGTGTAGGTGTGCTCCCCTACACCACTGTGTAACTGGTTCTCCAAAAGCAGAAGAGAGTACATGAGAACAATAGCGATTTGACTGAGAATCCACCCAGCTTGTGGAGGATGTGCTTTTGGTTGCAGAGGCTGACTGTGTTGGGTGATGAGGATGAGAGGCCACCACGCTGCCTCTCCTGGAAGCATGACAGCCACAAAGTATCCAAGCTTTATCCCAACTGTTTTTTGCCTCTGCTCTTGTTCTGTGCTCACACATACTTAACTACTTGCAATTGAATTTCTCATCATATAGCTAAAAGTTTTTATAAAGTGTTATGTACTTTAATATGCAAAGCTATTTACAATCCCTCCTGAAGCAGGAAGGGCTTAGTGAATGACGACTTCTTCCAGCTTCCCGGTGTCTTCATCTTCAGTGGTCGACTCTGTGGGCCCTGCCTCTGTTGACCTCTGCTTTCCCCTGCCTCTTCCACCCCAGCACCAAGCGCTTCTCAAGTTTACCTCCTTCACTTGTTCTGCTTTGCAGCTTCCATGCCAATGTGGAGAAAAGCCCCTTTTGGGAAAACAGACGTGCAAGACAATCAGTGAGTGATTTGCATTATTTGTCATGTCTCAGTCTGCATGCCCACTTCAGGTCTCATTAGGATAAAACCTGTACCTTGCCCCATGCTCAAAATAGGCAAGTTCAAACTAGGCCTGGAGTTTTGCAAACAGTTCCACAATGCTGGACTTTCAGAGGCTCCATCTGTTACCAAGGGCCTCAGGTCGTCTCTGGGGGAGACCTCTGCACCTGGCCAGCCTGGATGCACACTGTTATTTTGAGTAAAAGAACTGAGGAGGCTCACAAGGGGGAACCAGAAGCATGAGAAGATGAGCTTCCGCCCCTCCAAGGAAGGATGGAGGGACTCCATCTTGCACCAGCTCCAGCCTAGCACCTACCTGGGCTTCCTGTGCAGCCCCAAAAAGGCCTCTCCACCACAGGAGCAGGTGTACCAAAACCTGCCACCTCTGCCCTCCATACTGGATGCCTGGTGAAAGCAGGTCCCTCCATGCTTATCCCGCCCATCTCAGCTTCTTTGGAGCCTTTTGGGACCTCAGGGGAAGGAAGGGTTATTCTGCTGCAGTGCTCTGCACTGAGAAATCCAGGGATTTAAATAGTAGCTGGTTTAAATAGTTCTAGGTTCTCCTCTAGTACTAGTAATAAGTTTCTCCTTTAAGGATCATAAAACTGAGCATGGTGATGCATGCCTGTAGCTCTGTCACTGGGGAGGCTGAGTCAAGGTGATTGTTGTAAGTTTGAGACCAGCCTGGGCTACAGAGTGACCTCAAATTGGGACTGTGTAGTGAGACCTTATCTCAAAAGGATAAAAAGTAAATACATTAAAAAAAATAAAGATCGGCAGACTCATATTTACCTTGAGGACTTTTCAACTTCCTGTAAAGGTCTTCTGTGACAGCGCACCTGTTTAAAAAAAAAAAATAGTATTGGCTATCCACTTCCATCTCCCAATTTTAATTCAGTCCTTTTATTAATTTAAGCCTAAGATACTCTGTGTGATTAGAACTTTCCTAGAGACAGAATTCTACCCTGTTAGTCATAATTCATTGACTTTTTGAAAGTACCTTAAGAGTTTTGCATGGAGCTGGAACATTTCCTTATCCAGTACTTGGGAGTGAACTCAAAGGCCAGCAATGAAATATATAAGTAGGTAGGCAGGTAGGTAGATAAGTAGATAGGTAGACAGACAGCCGGGTTTTTTATTCTGTGTGTTTTTATTTTTATTTTTATTTTTTTTTTGAGACAAGTCGTAGTAAACCACTAAATTGCCCAGGCTGGGCTTGAATTTTAAATCCTCCTGCCTCAGCTTTCCAGAGTGCTGGGATTGGTGCCATATGCCACCTCTTCCAGCCTTTTAGAGTGGTGCCTCAATTCATCAACTGAATTCCTTCCATGATTTTGTTGCAACTGGATTGCAAGCATCTTACCCCATGTTGGCCCTGCTTCTGGGGCTCAGATTTTAGTGTCTGCTGTCACCAAAAGAGAACTCACTCCTTCCTTTTGGAGCAATCTTATCTCATCTGTCTCACAAGACTGACCCCAAATCAGAATGCCCCATGACCTCACAAGAAATAGTTCTGACCCAGAGGCAGCACCTCTGTAGTCCAGGCTGACCCTGAGCTATGTAGCATGGGCTACCCATGATCTTATAGCACTCCTCTTGCCTCAGTCTCCCAAATGCTGGGATTACAGGTGTTTACCCCCACACCCAGCTTTATTCCATGCTGACCTTGGTGTTTCATGCTCAGATACCCCTCTTTCAAAAACCTGTGTGCCATATTTTTATTCTTGGAGTAGGGAGCTTGAGAAATGGCCATGAGTCTCTTAAGAGGGGACTGACTCAGGAGAGCTAGCAGGTCTAGGAAAGACTGCATGAAGGAGGATGAGCTTGAGTTGGCTTTCAACATATTCGTGAGACTTCTACAAGCAGGGTGAAGTACAAGGATTCTTTATAGACAGAGCACAGGCAAATATAGGAATGGGATGATATGACTAAGGCATGGAAAGCGGCTGGGACAGAAGGCTGCCACAACTGTGAAAAAGATAAATTAGGGATACTTTATTTAATTGGAAAAGGAGAGTAAAGTTTGTCAGATTATGAAATTACCCTTTAATAATCTATCAGATGAAAAGTAAAATAATAAACTATTACATAATGAGGCAAAAAGCAAACGGGCAAGCTCCGGAAGAGGCAGCTCTAAACAGGACCTCCTGTGGGAGACCTGACAGAAGCCTCAGTGGCAGGGCTGGGGCCGACAGCAGTGTGGAGGTGAAGTCCCTGGGGGGTGAGTCAGTCCCTGTGTTGGGGTGTTGCCGTTGTGCCTCCCTGGCCTGCCTCACAGCTGGTGTGAGGTCGGATGGAGTAGCAGCAGAGTCTATGGCCAGAGGATCCTTTTGAGTTCGTTTTTTAGACATGGACCTATTAGACAATGCCTCTCACACTAGAGACAGCAGCAGCTGTGCAAAGCTAAAGAATGTGGAAGACAGACTTCTGCCTTGTGGCGCTGTCCTTTCTCCCTAGAGTGATGACAGCTCTTTGAGCATGGCATGAGATCAGTTAGGACATCAAACTGTCAATACGGTAGTTTTGAGTTGGGGAAATTTTCTTTCATGGCATCATTTGGCCATCAAATTAACTTCTCCAGGTACCCAAGTGACCTGTTATCTTGGTTTCAGTTCTTCAGAGATCTCTTGGAAGTGGAATGCCTTTACAAATCTGTGGAGAACACCAGGCATGATGATGCATGGCTGTGGTCCCAGCATTCCAGAGGCTGAGGCAGGAGGGCACTGTGAGTTTGAGGCCAGCCTGGGTTACATAATGAACTCAAGCAGCTTCATCACAACAGCAGAGCAAGGCCCATCTCAAAAGAAACCAATCCTCATCCCTGAAAATCATATTTCAATAAAAGCAAAAAATTGTTCTACCTTAGTTACTAAAGAGGAATGACACTGGGGATTTAGCTCAGTGGTTCACGTGCTTGCCTGGTAAGTGCGGGTTTCTGAGTTTGATCCCCTCTACTGAAAGAAAAAAGGAGCAAAACAAACAAAAACTCAATAGGAATGACCAGTAGGAAAGGGCAAAGTGACCTGGGTTTTCTATTCATGGGTTCTGAATCTATTACAAAGACAGGATGCATTCAGGAAGCCTAAATCAATTTTTATCCTTACCTTAATTAGGTAGAAGAGTACCATCAAAGTCATCATTCCTCCCATCAAAGATAATGGCAAGGTCAGTTGGTAATAGCCAAGTTCTTGAACTTTTGTAAGCTAAAAACAAAGGTAATTTTAGTCAGGTAACAAAGACATAAGAAGGGTGAAAACTGTCTGTACAAATCCAATTTTTCTGAGTAGCTTACAGATTTCTTAAAAGCACACCAAATGGGATGTGTTACAAATCTTATAATGCATGTCTTTCTCTTGCTTTGTTTATATCTTGTATGTTAGGATGTCTTCCTTCTCAAGGAGCAGAGTGGAGACTGCCATCCTGGCCAAAGTTACATGGCCAGGACAAAATACAGACCAGCAGGCCCTGCTTGGGCACCTCATGGTGGCACCTCAGCTGGGTAGTCCTCCTCACCTCTCTTGACTTCTGGTCCTTCTCGTCACTCTCCTCTGCAGTGTTCTCTCTGGTGTTGTCCTCACTTTTCTGATCCTCTGGGTCCCGCGGGGCCTTGGACACCTGGACTTTTTGCTGCTCACTGAGCAGTTTCATCAGGAGGCCCGTCTTAGAGATGAGCTTGGCACAGGCTTGCTGCATATGAGCCTCAGAGCAGTCCATTTTTAAGCTCCAGATGACCTGAGAAATCAGCCTTCTGATGTCATTGTTGGGGATGAGGGGCCACAGTTGCTGGTTTAGGTAGATTTCAAATGGATCACGTGGGGCCGACAGCAGTGTGGAGGTGAAGTCCCTGTGGGGTGAGTCAGTCCCTGTGTTGGGGTGTTGCCATTGTGCCTCCCTGGCCTGCCTCACAGCTGGTGTGAGGTCGGATGGAGTAGCAGCAGAGTCTATGGCCAGAGGATCCTTCTGAGTTGGTTTTTTAGACATAGTTTTATTTGGCACACTAAGTTTTACTACAAAATCCTCTCCTTGAAAACCATGTTCTGTAGCAGGGTTTTCTACAGCGGTGGTTTCTACTAAAGGCACATATAATTCTGAGACGGGATTCTCCTGAATACCCAGTTCTCTTGAAGATAAGAGCACCTGTTTTGAAGGGAGGCTGGCGAGACTCTTCACTGCTGGGAATGGAGGCTTCTTTGCAAGCAGTAGTGTACTGCATGTGCTTTCCTTTGTCATCTTTTCACTCAGCTTGGTCTCCTGTGTTCTGTGGGCCATGCGTGAGTGTATTTTGTGAACGCGTTGAACTTTTGCAGAATGTAATATTGGCTTGGTGCCCACCATGGTTTTAACTATAGAGTTTGCATGCTCTAAAATAAAAATGCCATTTTCTGAAGAAGAAACAGCTTTTCTTGTGTTCCCCTCAAGTTCTCTCTTTACTCTCTGAAGTCTTTTCCTTCCATGCCCAACTGCTGCCAGGATGTTTTCTGGTGCTTCAGCATTTTCCGATTTTTTTGGAAAGATTTGGCCTCTGAATTTGGGATCAAAAAGGCTCAACTGCACAGGCATGGCAATTTTCTTTTTCTTTTTCACATCATTAGTTTTTTCCTGTATATCATCATTAAGCAATTTTTGAGGAAAGTTCAGCTTCTTCAGTTTATTTGTGAAACGTGCATTGTTGACCACAGATTGAAAAGACTTTCTCACATTGTTTTTCATGTTGCCTAAGGGATTAGCACCCTCATGTACCTTTGAAAAAAGCAGCTGAATGAATGGTAATATTGTTGCCTCTAAGTCTTCCCGATTTCCCTTGGAGAAGAAATGCAGTATGTAACTTAGTGCATTGATGATGTCACTTTCATCGTTCATATCTAGCTGCTCTTTCATAAAGCCCTCTTGGTTGTTCACACTTTTCTGTGAAGAGAATTTTTCAGATTGGATAGTTAGCTGTGTGCTGGTGCTCATTTCCCGGGCTTGTAACACTTTCATGAAGATTCCTTCAGGGTTCCCTAAGGATGTGCCTCTCCCTGTCAGAAAAAAAGACATTGCTCTCAGTGGAGAATGATACACACCCAGCTTTTTCCTGGCCCACAGCTGTACACACTAGTCAAAGAAGGTAGAGGTCAGTAATTATTTTAGTGCCATGTGGAATGGACCACAAGAAATCCAAATCTAAAAAGTTACAAAAAACGCAACAGAAAGAAAATGACCTCTCTTGCTAACTACCTTCTGAGAACACTCCATTGTGTGGAATACAGCAACTTAACTTAGCCAAATGATTGGTACTCACTAAAAGGCCACATCCTGACGAGTACTTGCCCACTCAGCAGGCTTCTCTGCAGACCTTCTGTGCATACCCACGCAGGACCCAAAACACCATAATGTCACAGTGTAGAAGCAGAGGCAGCACAGGTCTTCCTCACCCCACCTGGTCAGCTGTCACCTCACTACCGTCAGATGACCACGATGAAGGACAGTCCTCTTAGGACAGAAAGGCGGATGTGTAAAAGCCCCACTCCTCCTGCTAACAGGTCTTTGTCTGGATGTGTCTGCTCCACTGGTTTGCCTAGTGCCTTCACTTGGTCCCTGCTTCCATATCTCCTAGCACAGTGATGGCAAACTTTTAAAAAAATTTTTTTATTTAAAGAGAGAGAGAGAGAAAAAAAAAGAAAACAGTAAAAGGGTACAAGTAATACAGAATTTCAAAAAAAAAACAGTAAGAAATTACTAGTTAATAGATTACATATTGTCATCTTAGAAATAGTTGTAGTGATGGCAACTTCTAGAGAAATCAAGTGCCAAACCACACCCCAAAACAAGTACTCACGGCAAAGTGCCAACCCTGCAATGAAACCTGAATACTGGGGTTTAGTTTAGAAAAAACAACTCCTTATAAACGTCTTTTGTCTTAAGAGAAAACTACAACCATGCATTTGTGGTAAGTTCACCGCCACTGTCCAGTCCCATAACAAAAGGTTTTTCCACACAGAGCCAAATACTATACTGCTCGGGTCTTCCTTATATCAGAGCAGGGATCCAGGGTGTAGGATAAGAGATTTTTAATTTGCCTAGTTGTATGCCTGCCTCTGTGGAATAGTGAACAGCAAATCTACAGAATAACAGCAGTTTCTGTATAAACATGACTTAAGGTCCTAAATGTATAAGAGAACTTGCCCCTATATCATATCAGATGCTTTCCCTATTTTTGTTTCTGTTCTAATGTTTCTAAGCATCTAAAGCTCCTGAGAGTATGAAAGTCAAGGGCTCAATGTGTAACTGTGTTTCTCTTCTGAAAGAATTAAGTGACTGGTGGTGGTGAGGGCCAGAGGAGGGGGTAAGGATCATGACCACAGAGGAACATGGGTTCCGGAGAGCCCAGAATTGGGAATGGAGGGCTGGGCATGAGGCTCTAGCACTTGACACCTCTGATCTTGTTTTCAACTGTAAAAGGAGGCAAGAAATTCTTGTTTTTCTCACCTTAGAGGGTAAAATGAATAGTGTTAATTGGTAAGAATTTGTTTGAAAATCCAGGAAAGTTCTTTTGCATAAGAAGCCAAGTACTATTATTTATTATTTGTCTCTGTATGCAAGCTCTCTGGATGTGAAAGCACTCACATGTGGCAAGCATGAAGTGAGAGCTAATAAACCTGACCTACAGAAAAATCCTTAAATGCACCTGAGTCATCTGAAACTCACAAAAAGCTCAGGTTTGGACCATCTGGGCACAGAACAACCCCTTAGAAGAGACAAGCACTTTTAGTTATGGAATCAAAAGCTCTCAGGTTCCAAATACAATAGCATGGCCTGACAGAGTTTTGAAAAAAAGATAAAACTGATGTACACCTGCCCCAAGGTTGAAGAAATAGAGACCTAATATATATAAAACCAGCTTACAGGGTGCACTGCGCATTGTGAATTAAGGTTTCTCCAGAAAGCAAAGCACCAGACAGCCCTGTGCATGGTGCGCAGCCAAGCATGGTGTCCCCTCCCTTCCAGCCCTTCCTCTGGGTCCCTTGTATATGGAGCAGTTATGTTACTGCATCATGCGGTACTTAGAACCTGACTATCTGTAGGGGAGCAGTCCAGAAAGTTAATGACATTCACTTTGAAGCATAAATATATATAAACCAGTTGTATGAATAGTTTATAATCCTATCACCATGTAAAAATTAAAAAGCAAATAGAATAGAAAACGTCATTAGGCTATCGAGACTCACGACACTGCTTGGCATTGGCCCGACATGTGCTGTCACAGTGCAGCTTGACTGTCTTGCAGACCTCCTCAATATCATTTTTAAACTGGCAGAGGCAGCAGAACATAATGCTCGGTAAGATCCTGCGGACAGGAACACAGAGATCTGAGTTCATGGAAAGTGGCTCCTTGAATGGTAAAGAGGCAGCACAAGGCTCCACAGCGTGGTGCAGGAAGGAGTGCTGGAGGCAGCCTGTGTGGCTGGGTAGGAAGCCAACAGCCACTGCAGCTTTTGAATATTGTGAGTAAATAGGAGGGAGAGAGGGGTCCCCACAGAAGGGTAAGCTCAGCAGTGCGTGTGGTGGGCCTCACATGAAGGTCCTGGAGATTAGTGCTGAGTGACAGAATGTGTCCTTTCATTCAGAAGCATCTCCTTTCAACTTGAAAGTCTCACTCTGGGGGCTGGGAATTTAGATCAGTGAGATAAGTGCTTGCCTTGCAAGCATGTGGTCTTGAGTTTGATCCTCAGTACCAATTATAAAAAAAGTCTCACTGTGGATAGGAAGTACGCCGACTTCTAAAAAGAGGAATCAGCTTCCAATGTGTGGGGTCCCTTTCACAACTCCAGTTTGGCGTGGTGAATGTGAGACATTACTCTGGGCAAAAAAATCAGTTTATTCCTATTTATATTGTGTGGTTAATAACAACACAGATCAAGCTGGGTAAATCTAGACAACTGCAGCATTCAAAAGGTCAAGGAGGACTCAGTGGTGGTGGGGTTGCTCAGAGGGAGAGAGCTGGCCTAGTGCGCTCAAGTCCTGGATTTGATCCATAGTATCTCAAAATACAGAAGTGAGAGGAGGATGAGGGAGCAATGACTACGTGATGAAAAGCAGCCATGAATTACTAGTCGTTCTGGAAAGGATGGTGTCTAGCTAATGTGGGTGGGAAGGGAAGCAGGTGCTGCAGGAAATTGAGGAAGATGAGCTTGGACCAGAAACCAAGGGGTTTACGGCAGTGTGGGAAGTCAGTTGAGGAAGTGACCTGACAGAAACAATGGACACAGAGTGCTAAATGAAAGGTCTCTTGCAAGCGCTCAACTACTTCACTACTAGTGAGCTTCTATTTTGCTTGCTATATTGGAGGAGGATGGCACAATTTAAGTTGCAGTCGTGGTATGAAAACCATCAAAACGGCACCCCAGAAAAAAGTTTAAAACTCTACAGTAGTACAATAAAATACTTCATACTCTGTATGAAAATTAACTCACAGTAGATTGTAAACCTAACTGTAATCCTAACACTCAGAAGCTGAGGCAGGAGGATCACAAGTTGGGTAGATCAGCAACTTAGCGAGACTCTGTCTCAAAACTAACAATACAAAGTGCTGGACACGGAACTCGGTGCAAGGGCTAGGGTTTAGTCCCCAGCACCACTGAAAATAATTATGGACCTGCATATAACTGTAGAGTTACATAGCGCAATTCTGGAAGAAAGCAAGTGAGAAAATCTTGTAGCCATGGGTTAAACAATGGGTTCTTAAGACAAAGATTTCTTAGGTAAAAAAAAAAAGCTTGCTAAATTGTATCTCATCAAAGTTTTTAAAGTTAAGATCTTGTTTTTAAATTTTATTTTCAAAGTAGTAAAAATGCAACAGCACAAGACAGAACAAAGCCAAGCAAGACAATGCAGTGAAATTGGTACAGGATTTCACAGTGGGATACTGGGATAGCAGTAATAGGTACTATGGTGTATCTCATTAACTTCACAATAGTTGTCCAGTAAATTAGGTATAGTAAAATCAAACCAAAAATAGAACATTATAAAACCAATTGAGAGTACTGAATAGAGCAAAAGAAACATAAGAAAACCAAACAGTGAAAACAACCTTTGCCTTCAAACAAAAGATAGAAGGAAATCCCCCATATTTGCTATATTGCATATGGTCATCCGCCCAACAGATGCTGAGAAATCTATCCACAGTAGCTATGAGGGGGGCAGGGGGGGGGCATCGTGCTTGATTTTCAGCCCACATGGCAGTAGGCTCACAGGTAATGGTTCTCTTCCTGGGCCACGCAGCGGGCACTTATCAGGAGGTCACGTGAATAAGCTGCTGGAGTCCCACCTTGGCCGGATCTCGGGAGCTCTCGTTCTCCTCGCCCACGACGCCAAAATTAAGATTTCTGTTCTACTTTAGCGCTCTGGGAAACTGAGGTAGGATGTTTGTAAATTTGGCCCACTCTGGGGAAGCCAAGCATGCACCTCCCCTCCCTGGTAAGCATGGCAGTATGGCAGACTGTGGCCCTTCCAGGGGGAGAACCATTAGCAGCTCCTGAGATCCACGCCATGTTGGAACTTAGGACGCTGGGAAGCCAAACATGCACCTCCCCTCCCTGGTAATCAGTGGCCCTGTGGCAGACTGTGGCCCTTCCAGGGGGAAAAGCACCAGCAGCTCCTGAGATCCGTGTCACGTTGGAATTTAGGATGCTTTGAAACCAAACAATCAGCTTGCCTCCCTGCTAAGCAATATTGAACCTACTGATATACAGCCTAGAGTCAAACATCCCACTTCCTCTACCCCCCTTCTCCTGTTCTCCCCCCACCCCCCTGTGAGCATATGGGAACCAGAAATCTGAGTGTCTTCTGGGAGGTTGACCATAGCAAATAAGGGGGACTTCCTTCTACCATCTCTTTGTAGGCAAATACTTTCATTACTGTTTTGCTCTATTCTGATTAATGGTACTGCTCTATTCAATATTCTGTTTTGATAAGTTCAATAATGTTCTATATTTCATCTCATTTTGATATACGTTATGGAAAGAAAAACTGTTATAAAGATAACAAAATATACTGTGATACCTATTACTGTTATCCCGGTAACCTGCTGTGAAGTTCTGTACCAATTTCACTGTACGATCTTAGTTGGCTTTAGTCGGTCTTGTTCCATTGTATTTTACCACTTTCAAAATAAAATTAAAAAAAAAATTTGTCTCAGTCTGGGCAACATAACTCCATGGTGAGACCTTGCTTCAAAATAACAAAATAAAAATGTGGAAGGGGGGGGCTGGGGATTTAGCTCAGCAGCATAAGTGCCTGCCTTGCAAGCCTGTGTTTGTGAGTTCAATCCCTGGTACCGGTAAAAATACAAAAAAAAAAAAAAAAATGTAGAAGGGGAGGTCATAGCTTGGTAAGAAAGGCCTAGTACTTAATAATATCTGATAATAAAGATACTCATCATTAGCTTAGCTAGTACAGAAATGCACACTAAAGCTACAATGAGATAGATCTACATACATGGTATTAAAAATACTGACCTTTTTTATAAACTGAAATGCCAGGATCAGGTAAAGAAGATGTGGTAACTTTGTTTTTAATTGGGGTACTAGGGACTATACCGAAGGCATTCACACTGGGCTGGCTCCAGCCTCTCTTTTTGTCCAGCTTTTAAATGTATTTATTCATTTTCATTTTGAGACAGGGTTACACTGTCATTAAGATTAACAGGCTGACTTTCAACTTGCCATCCTCCTGCCTCAGTTTCCCTGCATGCTAGGATTTACAGGCATGGGCCACCACGTCTAGCTGCCATTTCAACTTCCATAGACTGCACGTGGGATGTAGGAATGATTATCCTAAGTGGATAATAGTCAAACACAAATGGCTGCACACTGCATGATTTCATTTATAAGACCTCCCAGAAAATGTAAACGTATAGGGCAGAAATAAGACTGGCAGATTCTGGGAGCTGTAATAGATAGAGTGAACCAGCTGTGAAGGACATGAGCTGCCTTTTGAAGGTGACCAAGATGTTTTACAGCAGGGGTGTGGTGGTGGCTACATAACCACACAAACTCCTCAAACGTGTGAGTTTTGTGACACGGAAATCACACATCCATAAGCCTGACTTAATAGTAAAACAAACGTAGCAACAATGAGCCTTAAGAGAAACAGATCTGAGAAAAAAACTAACTTACAGTCTTTCCAATTCAAGAGACTTCGCGAGGATGTTCTCCAGTACTGTCAGTGACACATGCGTCTGTCCCAAGTCCCTGAAGAAGAAAGTCAGACAGAAATGAGGAAGTCCAACGCAAATAGTCCATGCTTCAGCAGGTATTTGAAGGACATCTCATTATTGCACTTTTGCCTCCCACTAAAACAAGCCAGAACATAAATTAATCATGAACTGTAATCCCAGAGAAGTCTTCATGCAAAAACTCAAATTTAATGTTTTCATCATCAAATGAACGAATTGCATCTATGTTTCAGTCACCATCATACTTCACATTTTTATATTGCATTCACATCTCTCTGACTGTGTTGTTACTTTTAGTAACAAGGCCACTATGTTTTCTAGGGTAAATGGTGTTCCTACATCCACTGATGTGTTCCGTATCTACCGTGTTCCTCAGTGGTGCTCCCTATCCCTGCTGACTCTCTTGCCTATTTTACATCTGAATCCTTTTGTGAATAACCTGATTAAAATTAAACTTACGACTTTTACAATAACAGTACAATACTTTTCCATTCTTAGAAGGAAGCAAGAAGAGCCAAAGTTGTATTATGACTTAAAGATTATGGCAATACTTACAGATAATTTAATGCTTTTAATGTAAAAAGAGATGGATCTTCAATGGCTTTCAGAGGATTATGATTGAGAATTCTGAAAAATGCAATGGGATAAAAATTATCTGTATTTTCAATATGCATGGAATTACATGAAAAGTTATTCTGTTTTTTGGTATGGAGCATATTCATAGGTTAAAAAAATCAATTTCTGTCATTACCTATGAATAAACCTTAGACTACAGAAAGCACTCTTCCTTTTGGGGATTCTGTAGGTCTCTAAAATATACTGTGGAAAAGAGAAAATGAAAGAAAGTGGATAGAAAAGAGAAGGAAAAAAAGAGGCTAAAAACAAAAACCCTTAAAAGTGACTGCACCATCAGGAAGGCTTCACTAGAAACCAACAAACCTAACATTCATGTATAGGACACTTCCCAACAATGTAAAAACAGAAGAAACACAGTCTTCTTAAGGGCACATTGAGAAAACCTGTAGTGCCACATGCATCTGTCCCAAGACCTTGGGACCTTTTACTATTAAATCAGGTACATTGAGATAGACCATAGGTCTAGTCTCAATCAGTTCTTTCGTTTCATTTGAAACAAGGTCTCTCTCTGTAACACAGGTCAGCTCCAGACTTGCTATGTACCCAGGCATGTCCTTGAACTTGCAGTCCTCATTCCTGAACCTCCCATGCTGGGATTACAAGCATGTGTCATCAAACCTAGCTTCAAGTCTCAATACACTTAAAAGGACTAATACACAAAATATGTTCTCTAAACAAGGTGGAATGAAATCACAGATCAATGACAGGAAGAAGTCTGGTAAATTCCTAAATATGGAAACTAAGCTTATATAAGGATCCTACTGGTCAAGAACAAAGAGACGTGAAAAAAACACTTCAATGAAGTAATAAATATAAATGGTGACACCCAGCACCAACACTTTAGGAAAGCTATATACACAATTGCAAATATTAAAGATTCTCATCAGTAATATAAAGCTCTGAATAAACAAGGGAAAAACCCAAGAAACTTAAAAAAAAGACATCAGAAAGAAAAAATAAAGAGTAAGATCAGAGAAAAGTGAAACAGAGAATTAAAAAACAATAGAGAAAATCAACATAGCCAAAAATTAGTTTTTAACAAAGGTCCTGGGCAGATAGCTTAGCAGCCTAGCAGCCCAATGCCTACTTGGCAAGTATGAGGCCCTAAATTGTATTCTGGATACCAAAACAAATCAATGGTAAAAGATCAACTATGCTGGGCTTGGTGGTGTAATCCCAGCACTTGGAAGGCTGAGGCAGAAAGACAGCTGTGAGAGTTCAAGGCCTGCATTAACTATACAGCAAGACCCTGTTTTGGGGGCAAACATCATTATCAAAGAAGGGGACATTGCTGGGTGTGGTGACACATGCCTGTAATCCCAGCACTTGGGACCTTGGGGCAGGAGGATCATAGCAATTTCAAGGTCAGTCTGAACTAATAAACTGTCTCTCAAACAAGGGTGGGATTATTACTGACCTAGAATGGATTATTAATTACATGGAATGAATTATATGGGAAAACCAAAAAATTATCTGCCAATAACTTAGATAACCCAGATGATAGATACAGTTCTAAAAACTGAAAGAAAAACAAAACCTGAACAGACATATTTAAATGTAATGATTGAGTTATTGACCAAAACTTCTCACAACAGAAGAGCCTTTTGTTTTCTCTTTGGTGGGATGAAGAGAATCTCACGATCAGATGGCTTCACTGGTGAATTCTGCCAACTGATTAAAGAAGCAATAACCCCAACCCTTCAAAACATTTTCTAAAATGTAAATGAAGAATAGTTCCTAATTCATTCTAGGAGTCAGTATTCCCCCTCCCCACAAAAAAAATGAAGAAATCTGGAAAGTATATATACATGTATATGAATAAATATATGTGAATATATATGTGTATGTATGTATATTTTTGTTGTACCAGGGTTTGAGCTCACAATCTCACACTTGCCAGGTAAATGCTGTGCTGCTGAGCTATATCCTTAGCCCTGAATCAATATTTCTTATGAAAATAGATATAAAATTCCTCAACAAATACTTACAAACCACATTAAACCAAAAATACAGCTAACACTATGCATCATGACCAAGTCCAGGAATGCAAGTTTGGCTCAACAGAAAAATCAATCAACCTAAAACACAATATTAATAGAATAAAACAAACATTTTCATCTACATTAATGCAGTGGGGGCAATTAAAAATTAACTCATTTTCACTATAAAACCATCCACAAACTAAGAATAGAATCACCTCAGGGGTGGAGACATAAGTACCTGTCTGGCTAAGGGCAGGATATGAGTTCAATCACCGGTACCAAGAAACAACCAAGCAAACAAAGAAGAATCACCTTAGGCTAATAAAGGGCACTAAAACAAGGGGAAAAAACCACCATGGCTATATTTATTATAATCTATATGGACGTTTGAGCTAGGACAGCTGGGGAAAACAAAATCGGGTCCATACTGGAAACACAAAGCTATGTATAATTGCATATACATATAGAAAACTATAGAGAAACCAGGCATCTTGCTGCAGGCCTGTAATCCTAGCACTTTGGGTGGCCGGAGGATTCCCACCTGGACATTTAACCAATTAAGCAGATATTGTCTCAAAATAAAGCAAGGGACAAGAATGTAGCTCAGTCCCTGGTACAAGTGTGAAAGTATAAGCCAGTCATTATGGCAGTACATGCCTGTAATCCTAGGACCCAGGAGGCTGAGGCAGGAGGATCACTCTGAGTTGGAGGTCAGCCTGGCCTACATAGTGAGTTTAAGGCCAGTCTGAACTACATAGTGAAACCTCTTAATTAAACAAACAGAACAGAAGAGAAAACCATAATGAATGCATACGTGGAAGGAAACTAGGACTAATAAGGTTAAATTTGTAGGACACAAGATCCTTATGCAAAAATTGGCTATATTTTTCCATTGCAGTATAATTCAATGCAGCATGCTTTCCTAGCACATACAAGGCCCTGGGCTCCCCCCCTCCCCAGGCCAGAAAGAAAATTAAGAATGATATTAAGAAAATTATCCCATGTGTTGACAAGAATAAAACATTTAGGACTAAATGTAACCAAAGAGGTACAAAATACACATTGAAAACTATAAACTACTGTTAAAAGAAATTAAAGATCTAAATGAGGGACTGGGGATTTAGCTCAGCGGCATAAGCACCTGCCTTGCAAGCAGGCTATCGTGAGTTCAATCCCTGGTACCGATAAAAATGAAAAAGACAAAAAAAAAAAAAAAAGATCTAAATGAATAGAAGACATTTGATTTGTCATCATGGATCAGAAATCATTACTATTAAGAGGGCACAGCTGCCAACGATGTAGCCCAGCGGCATAGCACCTGTCTGGCAAGGACTAGGCCCTGAGTTCGATTCCTGGTACAAAAAAAGATGTCACTATTCTTCAACCTGAGCTATGATTTCAGGACAGTTCCTATCAAAATCCCCAGTACCTGGGCTGGGGCTGGGCTCAGTGGTATAGTACTCACCTACCAAGCATGAGGCCCAGTACTGCAAAACAAAATGAAAGAAAACATAAAATTTCAGCTTGAGGGCTGGGCATTCAGCTCAGTGGCACAAATACCTGCCTTGCAGATGCATGGTTGTGAGTTTGATCTCTAGTACAAAAAAAAAAAAAAAAAAAAAAAAAAAATTCCAGCTGTATTTTTTCTAAAACCTGGCGAGCTAGTTTCTAAAATTCACATAGCAAGTCAAGAGATTCAGGATCACCAAAACCATCTTGAAAAAGAACAGACTAGGACTCAGTTTCCACTTTCCAAACCCAGTGAAGATCTGCAGCGAACCGAGTGTAGTACTAGAGTAAGACTAGACTGTAAAACAATGGATTCGAGCTGACAGCCTAGGAATAAATCTTCACATTACCGTTAAGTGACTATTGACAGGGGTATGAAGACAATCCAGTGTGGAAAGAATAGTCTTCCAGAGTGTTGGTAGGAGAACTGGATATCCACATGCAGAAGAGTGATGTTGGGCCCCTCTACTGTATTAGAAAACTGACTCAAAGCGTAGCAGATACCTAGTGCAAGGTCTTAAACTATAAAACCCTTAGAAGAAAACATAGGAGCAAATGCTTATGACTTGTTTCTCATATATGATAACCAAAGGAAAAATATATAAAGCGGGTTTTACCAAAATTAAAAACTTCTGTGCTCCAGCTGGGCATAATGAGGCATCCCTATAATTGTAGCACTCAGGAGACAGAGTGACGATGATGAGTTCAAGGTCAGGCTGGGTACACAATGAACTTGAAGGCAGCCTGAGCTGCATAGTAAGATTCTGTCTCACAAAACCAAAGCCGGCTTGGTGTGGCAGCACACCAAGGAAATGGGGAGTGCTCACTCACTGGTACAGGGCTGCTTTGTAGGGTGATGAGGGTGTTGTGGAATGAGATAATGGAGATT